CCCTCAGCTCTTCAGCTCAAGGCTAGTGCTCTACCACTTGAGCCACAGTGCCACTTCAAGCTTTTATCTTTTTGCTTATGTGGTGCTGAGGAATCGAACCCAGGGCCTCTGGCATGCAAGGCAAACACTCTACCACTGAGCCACCTTCCCAGCCCCATCACTTCATTTTTTTGTATTGAGAACATTTTGTGTATTGTATTAACAATTGGAAATATATAGTAAAGCATTACTAATTATGGTCACACTGTGTGCAATAGATAGATTCCTGTCCCACTGAACCTAAGTTCTAATCACCAAGCTTCTTCTCTCTTCTGTGAGTTCAACGATTTTTAGATTCCATATATTAGTAATATCATATAGTAGTAAGATCTATATATTAGTAAGATTTTTTCCATGTGTGTGTGTGTGTGTGTGTGTGCGCGCGCGCGCGTGCACGCGCCTTGAGCTCAGGGCCTGAATGCTGTCCCTGAGCTAATTTGCTCAAAGCTAGCTCTCTACCAATTGAGCCACAGCTCTACTGCCAACTTTTTGTTTAGCTAATTAGACATGCGTTTCATAGACTTTCTGCCTAGTTTGACTTCAAACTGTATTCCTCAGATCTCAGCTTCCTGAGTAGTTAGGATTCTAGCTATGAGCCACCAACACTTGGTTTAGCACTTGTCTTTCTGTACCTGACTTATTTCATTTAATATAATGTCTTCCATATTCTTACAAATGCAGAATTTTCTTTTTGTGGAAGGCTAAATAGTATTCTAATGTGTTCATTTGCCACATTTCCTTTATCCATCTGTTAGGTAGAGTTTGTATCTTGGCTATTATAAATAAAACTGCAATGAACACAGGAATACAGATGTCTCTTCAACATATTGGCTTGAATTCCTAGAAGTGGGATCACTAGATCATAGGGTAATTGTATTGTCAATAGTTGGAGAAAACTCCATGCTGGCTTTTATAATGAATGTACTAATTTACATTCCAACCAAGAGCAAGTAAGTTTCCTTCTTTTCTATACCCTCTCCCACACATATCTTTCACAGTTTTCTTGTTTTGTTTTGTTTTGTTTTTGTCAGTTGTGGGGCCTGAACTCTAGACCTGGGCACTGTCCCTCAGTTCTTCAGCTCAAGGTTAGCGCTCTACCATTTGAGCCACAGCGCCATTTCTGGCTTTTTCTGTTTACTTGGTGCTGAGGAATCGAACCCAGGGCCTCATGCATGCAAGGCAAGCACTCTACCACCGAGCCACCTTCCCAGGCCCAGTTTGTTTGTTTTGTTATTGTTGTTTGCTTACTTGTTCATTTGCACTAATGAATACTGGCAAAAGAGCCTTCTGCAGTTAGGCACTCTACCACTCAGCTATACCACAACCTCCATGTTTCCAAAACTAGCCAGCCTAACAGGTGTGAACAAACAGATATCACTGTGATTTTAACTTTGTTTCCTCAATGATGTTTGATGATGTTTGAGCCACCAGTGTTCAGCTAACTTTTCCTAAAAGCCCAGACAGTGAAGAGTTTAGGCTCTGCAGGTCTTTTCTCCATCATTACATAAAGTAGCTACAGACGACAGGTGAGCATAGCTAGGTTCCAGTAAAATCTTATTTACGCAAATATTGCCAGAGAACATAGTTTCCCCCAATTGTCATAGCTCCAGATGAGAGTAAGTCCTCTGCCACTGGCCTTTTTTGATGCTCTCTTTCCCAAATACCACATCACGTCCCTGTCACCTTGCCACTAAATCCTGTTTGTTCATCCTTCAGGTAAAAATCTCCCCAGGAAATGGAAAGAGGTAACTACACACTGTTGACTGAGTTTATCCTGACAGGAATTCCCTACCCACTCAAGTTAAGGACATTCCTTTTTGTGTTCTTTTTACTCATCTACATCCTGACCCAGCTGGGAAACCTGCTCATCCTGCTCACTGTTTGGGCAGACCCTCAGCTCCATGCCCGTCCCATGTACATCTTCCTTGGGATTCTCTCCATCATTGACATGGGCATCTCGTCCATCATTGTCCCTCGCCTCATGATGACCTTCACTTTAGGCATCAAACCCATCCCATTTGGTGGCTGTGTGGCTCAGCTTTATTTCTATCACTTTCTAGGCAGCACCCAGTGCTTTCTCTATACCTTGATGGCCTATGACAGGTACCTTGCAATATGTCGACCTTTGCATTACCCAGTGCTCATGACTACTAAACTGAGTTTCTTGCTTGTGGCTGGTGCTTGGGTGGCTGGTTCCTTCCATGGAGCACTCCAAGCCATTCTAACCTTCCGTCTGCCATACTGTGGATCCAACCAGGTAGATTACTTCTTCTGTGACATCCCTGCAGTTTTGAGGTTGGCCTGTGCTGATACCACAATCAACGAACTGGTGACTTTTGTGGACATTGGAGTGGTAGTTGCCAGTTGCTTCTCCCTGATCCTACTGTCCTATGTTCAGATCATTCAGGCCATTCTGCGGATCCGTACAGCTGATGGGCGGCGCCGGGCCTTCTCTACCTGTGGAGCTCACATAACTGTGGTCACTGTATACTATGTGCCCTGTGCGTTTATCTACCTGCAGCCTGAAACCAATAGCCCCCTAGGTGGAGCAGCTGCTCTGTTCCCCACAGCCATCACTCCTTTCCTCAACCCTCTCATCTACACTCTGCGAAACCAGGAGGTGAAGCTGGCTCTGAAGAGAATGATACAAGGCTCAAGGAATAAGAGTAAGGTTTGACTCTCCCCCACAGTATAACCCCTGCTTTCACTGTATTTGATGTCGGTATACTTTGTGGAGGGGAAGGGGAAAAACAAGTCGTTTAAATAAGGATACAGGTGGACCTGTTGCAACAATGAGAAGTACAAGTTGTCATGTCGAAAATGAACTTTACAACTGGGGGGGGGGGGGGCTGGTCAGGGGGAGGAGGATTGGGTGGGGAGGGAGGGAGGAGGATGGGAAAGGATAGGAAGGGTAAACAAAGGAGGAGGCTACAATGCTTGATAGCCTCTTTTTTTTTTTCTGGTTGGGAGGCTACAATGCTTGATAAGAAATGTACTCACTATCTTGTCCATGTAATTGTAACCCCTCTGTACAGTATTTTCACAATAAAAATTTAAATTTAAAAAAAGATTTAAAAAAAAAAGAGTGAGGTTTGAAAGCGGAGAGACCATCATGTTTAGAATTTATTCTCATGTTTAGGTTTTAGTGAGGATTTTCTTTCCTTCTTGCTTTTTCTCCTCATATACTAATATCATATAATAAGCTTATTACTAAAAAAAACAAAAACCTGAAATCAATAGCTTATGAGAAAAAAACTTCCAGTCTGTAAAGGTCTGCATCTCATTCCTTTTTTATGAGTGGTTAGCATAATTGTTACTGTAACTGTTGCCTTAACACTTAATATCAATGTGAAGTTACATGTATCATAAAATATGATTAAAATGGAATTAATTTTCAAGAAAATATTTATTTTAAAAGCACAATGTGGGAACTTGGTATGTAGCTCAGTGGCAGAGCCCTTGGTTTGATTCCCCAGGACCAATAAATATCCAGGCTGGGAAGGTGGCTCAGTGGTAGAGCGCTTGCCTTGCATACCTGAGGCCCTGGGTTCGATTCCTCAGCACCACATAAGAAAAAAGAAAAAAGCCAAAAGTGGTACTGTGGCTCTAATGGTAGAGCACTAGCCTTGAGCTGAAGAGCTGAGGGACAGAGCCCAGGCCCAGAGTTCAGGCCCCACGACCAGACCCAAAAATAAATAAATAAATATCCAGAAAACAGCATGTTCTGGCAAGGATATAAAAAGTTGTAACCCTGGTGATAATCTACATTGGTGAAGCCACTATGGAAACCAGTCTGGTAGAAGAATTGGTAGATACATACAGGAAGGAACAAAGCAACTTGAATTTCAAAAAGATACTTGTGTAGCCATGTTCCCAACAGCACTACACACAAAAGCCACAAGGGGACAGCAACTCACGATCCATACACAAGTAACAAAAGGTAGACAAATGTAGTTTATACCTATAATGAAATATTACTTAGCCTTAAAGGGCAGGAAACTCTGACAAGAGCTAAAAGCTATAGGAACCTCCAGGACATTATACTAAGTGAAATCAACCATTCACAAAAAGATCAGCAGGGTACTGGTGGCTCACCCCTGTAGGGCTAGCTACTTAGGAAGCTGAGATCTGAAGATGGTGGTTCAAAACCAGCCCAGGCAAGGAAGTCCACGAGACTCTTATCTCCAATAAACTACTCAGAAAAAGAAGTGGCACTGTAGCTCAAGTGGTAGAGCTCTAGCCTTGAAAGAAAAAACTTATGGACAGTGTCCAGACCTTTAGTACAAGCCCCATGATTGGCATAAAATTAAAATAAAATTTAAAACATAAATACTGTGCTGTATGATTATATTTTCATGAGTTACCTAGAAGTCAAGTTTGTAGAAACAGAAAGTAGAAGAGTGGTTGCCAGAAGGAAGGAGGAAGAAGTGGAGAGCTATTGCTTCATGAGACTAAAGTGTCATTTTATAGGATAAAAAGAGTGCTGGAAGGGCTGGGAAGGTGGCTCATTGGTAGAGCACTTGCCTTGCATGCTTGAGGCCCTGGGTTCAATTCCCCAGCACCACATAGGCAAAAAAAAAAAAAACAGAAGTGGCGCTGTGGCTCAAGTAGAGTGCTAGCCTTGAGCTGAAGAGCTGAGGGACAGCGCCCAGGCCCAGAGTTCAGGCCCCGCGACCGGACCCAAAAAAAAAAAAAAAAAGAGTGTTGGAGCCAGGTACCAGTGGCTCAAGCCTGTAATCCAAGCCACTCAGGAGGCTGAGATCTGAGGATCATGGTTCCAAGCCAGCCTTGGCAAAAAAGTCCATAAGACTATCCTCACCAATTAACCACCAGAAAACCAGAAGTAGAGCTGTGGCTCAAAGTGGTAGAGAATTAGCCTTGAGCAAAAAAGCTCAGGGACAGCACCCAGTCCCTGAGTTCAAGCCCTCCACCTACAAAAATAGTGTGCTAGAAGCTGGGTGCTAGTGTCTCACACTTGTAATCCTAGCTACTCAGGAGGCTGAGTTCTGGGGATCACAGTTTGAAGCCAGCCTGAACAGAAAGGCCATGAAAGCTTATCTCCATTAATCACTAAAATGCCCCAAGTAGAGCTGTGTCTCAAATGGTAGAGTGCCAGTCCAGAATGAAAATGTCAAGTGAAAGTTCAAGCCCTAGTATCAACAAAAAGAGTGCTGGAGCTGATTGCATATGTAAATATGCATGTCTATATTTATATATGTGAATACCTGAATATACCCAACACTACTGAAGTGTATAGCTAAAATCTTTTCATCTAGTAAATTTTTATTTTATTCCAAATTAAAATAAATTTATTAAGGCAAAGAGTGGGGTGGAAGAAAGAAGGAATATAACTGAAGATCAGTCATATGTTTGTGGAACAGGGGCAAATATTGAACTTCTTTCTATTTACTCTTATGTGTTTGAAATTTTCTATACTAGAAGAATGTGTGTGTGTGTGTGTGTGTGTGTGTGTGTGTGTGTGTGTGGTGTGTGTGTGTGTGTGTGTGTGTGTGCTGGGGCTTGGGCCTAGGTGCTGTCCCTGAGCTTTTTTTGTTCAAGGCTAGCATTCTAACACTTGAGCCACAGCTCCAGTTCCAGCTTTTTTGTGTGCTTAATTAAAGACTCTCACAGAGTTTCCTGCACAGGCTGGCTTTGAACCATGATCCTCAGATCTCAATCACCGAAGTAGCTAATATTTCAGGTGTGAGCCACCAGCTCTGTCAGCTCTAGCCTTAAAGTCTTTTAGTGCAGGGTGCTGGTGGCTCACATCTGTAATCATAACAACTTAGTAGGCTGAGATCTGAGAATCGTGGTTCAAAGCCAGGTGGGGCAGGAAAGTTCATAAGGATCTTATCTCCAATTAACCACCAGAAAACCTGGAAGTGGAACTGTGGCTCAAAGTGAAAAAATCTTGTAGCATAAACTCTGTGTTGGTGGCTCACACCTGTAATACTACCTACTCAGAAGACCTGAGAATTGCAGTTTGAAGGCAGCCCAGGCAAGAAAAGTCTGTGAGGCTTTTTTTTTGTGGGGGGGGGGGGCAGTTTTGGGGCTTGAATTCAGAGCCTGGGCACTATCCCTGAGCTTGTGTGCTCAAGGCTAGCACTCTACTACTTTGAGCTACAGCTCTATTTCCAGTTTTCTGGTGGCTAACTGGAGATAAGCCTTTCTGTCCCGACCCGCAGGACTTCAACCAGGGCAATGAACCTAAGCGAGAAGGAATGAAGGTACAAGAGACGTGAAGAATGACAGCAAGACAGGGATTCTGATCAAACTGCCAAATTTTATTTTTCACACAGGGGTATTTATATGCTTAGAATAAGGAAGCTTTTTCATTGGGTGTAGGCTGCAGGATGCTTGCTTAGGGCAATGTGAAAAGGTGGTCAATAGCAGCTACCTGGTCTTTGTTTGGGGCAGGATGCAAAGACCAGATTCTGTAAATAGCCTCGAGAGATGTTCCATCGAGATAGTCAAGCTTATCATGCAGAGAGACTCACTGCAGGGCTCTCGACACCTTTCTGCCTGGGCAATCCTCAGATCCCAGCCTCCTGACTAGCTAAGATTATAGGCATGAGCCACCAGCACCCAGCCTAAGACTCCTGTCTCCAATTAACTAGTAGTGGAGTTGTAGCTCAATTGGTAGATCATTCACCATGAGCACAAAAGCTCAAGGACAATGCCCAGGCCCTGAGTTCAAGCACTAGCACCGGAACAAAAGAATGAAAGAATAAAAGAACAAAAGAAAGAAAGAGGAAGAAAAGAAGGGAGGAGAAAGAGAGGGGTGGAGGAAAGAAGTTGCTGGAGCCATGAAACCTCCAGGTCGAATATTTTCTAAACTGAGGTGAAAGTTAGTACAAGGATTAGGATAGGATATGTGGCCTGTTTGAAAGGGAACATTTGTTGACAAGGAGTGCTTGGGATGTCTCCATGATCTCATTTCAGGAAGCAAGGGTCTGATTCGAAGGCCTTGGTAACTACTTTGAGCTTTGACTTAGGGATGGGTAAGAGGTTAATTTTCTATTGCTGTTTAATAACTTAGCAGCTTAAAACAGCATCCATTTTTGACTTGCAATTGTCCAGATCAAGGTAAGCATGACCTGGTTCTCTGCTCAGGGTCTTCCAAGACTGAAATCAAGCCTTGTCTGAGATGCATTACCATGAAAAGCTCCATGTCTCCTCCGACCTCTATGGTCATTTAGTTCAATGCTTTGCAATAGCTTAGGGCCCGGTACCCTCATTGCTGTCAACTGAAGGCCACTCAGTGCCTGTTTCACTCTTCATTCATCTCCTTGCCAATTGCTCTCCTCTCCCCACCTTCAATGGCAATGTCTCATCATGAACTTGTGTGTTGCTAAGTTCTCACACAGAGCTCTCAAAACCCCTGTAAATGCCTGAGTGACAGAGATGGTAGAAGTGTCTTTTTTTTTTTTTTTTTTTTTTTGTCAGTTGTGGGGCTTGAACTCTAGGCCTGGGCATTGTCCCTCAACTCTTCAGCTCAAGGCTAGTGCTCTACTCCTTGAGCATAGCACCAGTTCAGGCTTTTTCTGCTTATGTGGTGCTGAGGAATCAAACCCAGGGCCTCATGCATGCAAAGAAAGCACTCTACCACTGAGCCACGTTCTCAGCCCCGGTAGAAGTGTCTTTTGCTCTTATATTTGCCCTTTAGCCTTGTTCCTAACACAGAGCTTCTAAATCCATTGGAATTTCTTGGTGATCTCAGTGTCTTTATCATAGTAAGGAGAGTCTCAAAAAGCTCCACTAGCTTCAAAAATACAAGCAGAACCGGGTACTGGTGGCTCATGCCTGTAATCCTAGCTACTCAGGAGGCTGAGATCTAGATCACCGTTCAAAGCCACCCTGGGCAGGAAAGTCTGTAAGATTCTTATTGTAAGGTCTGCTCCTGGATGGCTAGCAGATTCCACCCTCCTCACAGCAAAGTCTCCACCCATTACCTGCGTTACTTAGGCAACTGGCACACCTGGAAGAGGTCACATCTGAATTTGACCATCTGATGTGTTTTGTTAGCAAAGACGTCTAATAAACATTGTCAAAATTTTAGGTTTTGAGTTTTGCCTTTTGTGTTTTGTGTTGCGTATTCTACTACTGACTATGTGGTTCTAAAATACTGGGCATATTGTGCTAAAATTCTCATCACATCTAATGAGTTTTGTCATTTCAGAATATTTGTTGCCAATTCTTGATAAGAACCAGGTAAGCTCTACTTATTCTACTTGATCTCCTTGTTGCCTTAATTGGAAATAAAAAAGGGCTTTTAAAGCAAAGACT